ATTTTATTCAGGACTTTCTTGGAAACCTTGTTGAGATACTTTAAACATTTGTTGGTGGCTTCTTATGAAGCTTATTAAAGGCTGTGGGTTATTTGTAGTTAATATACAAAAGGAAAAAAAATAAAACAGGGAGAAAATGGCATTTACGGAGCACACTCCCGAGGTTTCGCCACTGGGTTACCAGACATTCTTTCCTTCACTTCCCCAGTTGGGCTGACCTCAACATTCTTGGTGTCCAAGACTTCTAAAAGAATGCAAGCCCCGTTATCATCCCCAGAGGGGAAAACAGAAACAAAATTGGATGATATGTCAGGCTAAGGAATAGGTCCACCATGTGTTTAAGAAGGAGGAAGAGTTCCACTGAAATCACACCAAAGATCAAGGTTTGTGGACATGGGTTTGACCACATGAAAAAAGGAGAGCAGTTTTGCCATTTATTCAAAAGTCCTTCACAAGCCAACCCATTAAAGAGCAAGTTGGGAGACATTATTCTTGGTTTCTGCCACACACCTGTGAGATCAAGATGGGAGAGAGAATACAAAGAGATCCTTATCTCTAAAGGATTTTTTAAATGAAAAGATATTGGAAGTCAGGAATAAAAAGGGGGAAAGAAAACAAAGTCCTTCTTTGGTCATCACTGAATGTTGGCAGCCCTGCTTTTTATGATTGCTTTGATTATTCGCTGAATTCAAAAAGTTTTAGGCATGGATAATTTCATGCTTTGGTTTTCCTTTATTTCCCATTTTTTATTGCATGTTTTAAGATGGTTTGAGTTCAAGAACCAATTAAACCACAACGTAAGAGTCCGACTTAGAATCTGTATGACTTCACTTGAGGTGGAAGTAAAAAGGAAATCAATTCTGAAAAAAGAAAGGAAACTTTCGGGTTCACAAACCTTCCTCTTTTTCTCAAAAAAAAATTTTTTTTCATGTTTTCATCTAATATTACTAGTATCTTTAAAATATAATTTTATTGATTTCAGAGAGAGGAAGGGAGAGAAAGAAACATCAATAATGAGAGAGAATCATTGATCGGCTGCCTCCTGAATGCCTCACACTGGGGATTGAGCCCACAACACAGGCATGTGCCCTGATCAGGAATCAAACCATGACCTCCTGGTTTATAGGTCAATGCTCAACTACTGAGCAACACCAGCTAGGTTAATATTATCTTTAAATCATCACTTTGAGAAAAATCTTTTAAATGTCAATGCTTCTCCTAGGGCAGTGATGGCGAACCTATGACACGCGTGTCAGAGGTGACACGTGAACTCATTTTTTTGGCTGATTTTTCTTTGTTAAATGGCATTTAAATATATAAAATAAATATCAAAAATATAAGTCTTTGTTTTACTATGGTTGCAAATATCAAAAAAATTCTATATGTGACACGGCACCAGAGTTAAGTTAGGGTTTTTCAAAATGCTGACATGCCGAGCTCAAAAGGTTCGCCATCACTGCCCTAGGGCTTAGTCATAGGCACTATGCTTTTCTCACTCTATCCACTTTGGGTAACTGCATTGACTTGCAGAGCTTCAATTAGCATCCATATACTGGTTACCTTCATATTTTTCTTTGGACTTGCTCATCTAACTTTCTAATAAACAACTTATTTGGTATCTCATAAGCCATCCAATGCATCATGTTCAGAAGTGAACTCATGTCCTTATTTCCTATTTATCTCCCTATCCCAGCTTTCCCCCATGTTCCTTGCCTTCAGTGTCTACTCATGTAGCCCAAATCCTTAATCCAAGGATCTTTTTGACTCTTCTGTCTCATCCAATTAATGACCAAGCCCTGTCAATCTGCCTTCTCAGCTATCACTTTGATATCCATTTATCCCCATCTCCACTGTCGCCCTAAGCCATTCTTATCTCTGACACATTTTGCTAAAACAGCATCCTAGTCAGTCTCCTTGCCACTAATCTTGCTCCTATCCAATGCATTTACCCTCCACATAGCCATTGGAGTAATCCTTTTTGAAGTGATCCTGATAAAATGCAAATCTGATCATGAAACTCCATTAAAACCCATCAATAATTTTTCATTATCCTAAAACAGTGGTCAGCAAACTGCGGCTCGCAAGCCACATGCGGCTCTTCGGCCCCTTGAGTGTGGCTCTTCCACAAAATACCACCTGCGGGCGCGCACGACAGTGCGATTGAAACTTCGTGGCCACACTCAAGGGGCCAAAGAGCCGCATGTGGCTCGCGAGCCGCAGTTTGCTGACCACTGTCCTAAAACAAGCCTAAACACCTTAACTTAAAAGACTCTATCTATCCTGTGCCTACTTCCCAACTGCTGAAGTTTTAGTATCCCTTCAACAAGCCTAAACACTTTAACTTAAAAGACTCTATCTATGCCTACTTCCCAACTGCTGAAGTTTTAGTATCCCTTCCAGTCACCCTGAGCACCTTTTAGTCCCTAGAACCTGACATACTTTCAGCTGAAACATGCTGTTCTCACTGCCTAGCCCCAATTCAAATGTCACTTTTTGAGAGATATCTTTTGTTACCCTAAACTAGATCAAGGTCCCGGCTATGCTTGTAAATCACCCTGACTTCTATTGTATCACTCATCACATACTGTTGTGTGCAGCGTCTCCTCACTTTACTCTAAGCTCCATGAGAGCAGGGACCATGTTTGTCATATTAACTACTACTAAGCACCTGGTGGTAGGTATTTAATAAATAAATACTGATTGAACAAATAAGTGTATTTACTTATGTATTTCTCCTTTTACCAGTACAACAAACCATGTGATCTGCTATATAATTATTGGTGACTGACTCATTCACCATAGAGCCATCTCAGATAGAAATTAATATTCAAGATACCCCATAATTAAGACATCTCACAGATTTATAGGCATCCCTTGCTCCAAATTGTGCCTAGTTAACAGGATAGTAACAAGGTCAACTAAGCTTGGCAAGGTTCAGAGACATACTTGCCTTTGACTAATCAAAAAATCATGGGTAGAATAAATAAATTAAGTTGTTTAATGGTTATTTACTACCTCTATCTATTCTGCTTTATCCTGTCATCTAGTTTGGAGAAAAGTAGGTTTATTCAAGATGCTACTTAGCTGGAGGAATATTTTACACAGCCCCTGTATCTAATTCTAAGGATAGTTATTACCCATGACACTCTTAGACTCTGATCATGTTACCAGTAATGTCCCTTTGTGAATTTTATCAAATTTATTTGAGAACATAAGAAAAATCATGGCGTTATACAGGCAATGACATCTAAGTTAGAAGTTTTTTAGGTCGGGGCTCCAGTGGCGCAATCGTTTAGCGCGTGGTACTTATAAGAAGATTTTTAAATGTTTTTATTGATTTTTAGAGAGGAAGGGAGAGAGAGATATAGAAACATCAATGAGAGAGAAATATCGACTGGCTGCTTCCTGCACACCCCCTACTGGGGATTGAGCCACAACCAGGGCATGTGCTCTAACCAGGAATTGAACCAGCAACTTCTTGGTGCATGGGCCAATGCTCAACCACTGAGTCACACCGGCTGGGCAAGTTTTTTGTTTGTTTGTTTTCTAAAACATAGTTTAACTCTCTGTAACCCTTGGATATGTTTCCTCCTGATGTTAGATGTAACATCAGATGTAACTTCTGGAGGTAGTTATAACTGACAGAAGATGCAATGTTAATGATTCATTGTAAAAAGTGGCTCAACTGTGTCAAAGTTGGGTCATAAAACATGATTTAAACCACAGGCACACCACCTGCAATGGTCTCACCTCATGACCAGCACTCAGTCCATGGATAATGTTCTGTTCTGCTGCTGCCCATCAGAACATGACCATCTCCAAATGGTGACTGTCTCCCAAGAATATTACATCAGGAATTTCTCATTGCCTTATTTATGCTTAAGCCCTAATATAGGGCTACATTATTAAGCCAAAAATAATTATTGCCTTAAGAGTTTTGTTGCTCTACATTGCTTAGGGCGATAAAATAGCGATTGGGAGTTAAAACATTTTCAGTGTTCTCTTTAATTTTTCACTCCAGCTACTAATGCTTCATTTCCACACTGAACATTATAAAGTAAGGTGCTGCATAAAGCAGAAAATTATGGGATGAATTTGATCATCCCTGGATAAACATAAAGTCTCAGCAAGAGAAACCATATTCAATTTACTACAGAATCTCCTCAGTATCTAAGTTGTCTTTACTAAAAGCTAGGATATTATGCCCCAGGTGGGTGGCTCAGTTGGTTGGAACATCGCTCTGTACATCAAAAAGGTTTCAGGTTCAATTCCTGGTCAGAGTACATACCTGGGTTGCAGGTTCAAACCCCCGTTGGGGTGTGTATGAGAGGCAACTGATCCACCAATGGATGAATGGATGTCTCTCTCTCTCTCTCTCTCTCTCTCTCTCTCTCTTGCATCAATTAACATCCTTGGGTGAGGATTTTTTTTAAAAGCTAGGAAAGTATGAAAATGCAGCAACTCTGCCACATTGCTGGAAAGCCATAGAGTGACTTTCTATCGAAGTGCCCTGTCCAAAGATAGTAATAAAAACGTGGGCTTTGGCCCTGGCTGGTTTGGCTAGTGGACAGAATATCGGCCTGCGGACTAAGGGTCTGGATTCGATTCCGGTCAAGGGCATATGCCCAGGTTGTGGGCTTGATCTTGAGTAGGGGGCATGCAGGAGGCAGCCAATCAATGATTCTCTCTCATCATTGATGTTTCTCTCTCTCCCTCGAGGCAGCCAGTCAATGATTCTCTCTCATCATTGATGTTTCTCTCTCATCATTGATGTTTCTCTCTTCTCTCTCTCCCTTCCTCTCTGAAAGCAATAAAAAAATATATTTTTTTAAAGTGGGCTTTGTAGACACACCTGGATTAGAAACTTGATCTCACCTATTTCTCCCTTAGTCCCCTTAAAGCTTTGGAAAAAGGTAGTGTTGATACCTACCTATCTCACATGATGATGTGAACACTGAATTAGTTAGTACCTGTAAGCCTCCTGGCACATGGTAACATACCTAGCTCATAACAGGTATTCAAAAATGTTTGTTTTCTTCCTTCTTCCTTTTTCCAGTCACACTCACACAGCCACTGGACAAAATAGAAACCATTCAGATCCAATATTAGCAGGTCCCATTCTGCAGGTCTCTCTTCACAGTAGTTTGGTCTATTATTTTTCTTATAGAAATTAGAGGTTGTTGTTTCTTCAAGTATTTCTTTCATAAAAATAAATAAGGAGTATTTTGTAATTTTGTGTTTAACACAGCTAAAATTCAGTACAGCAACCTAAATAAAACTAATTTTTCCTTTTCTAATGGACTTTCTTGGGGTGACATTGATTAATAAAATTATTTAGATATCAGGTGTACAAATCTATAATACATCATCTGTATATTGCATGTGTGTTCACTACCCCAAGTCAAATCTCCTTCCATCACCATTTATCCCGCCTTTACCATCTTCTATCTTTCCCTCCCCTTTTCCCTCTGGTGATCACCACATTGTTGTCTGTGTCTATGAGGTGTTTGTTGTTGTTGTTGTTGTTGTTGTGTTTTTTGTTGTTGTTGTTTTGCTTAAACCTTCACCTTTTACACCCAGCCCCCTAACCCCCTTCTGCTCTGACAGCTGTCAACCTGTTTTCTGTATCTATAAGTCTGTTTCTATATTGTTTGTTAGTTTACTTTGTTCATTAGAGTCCACGTATAAATGAAATATATGGTACTTGTCTTTCTCTGACTGGCTTATTTCACTTAGCATAATACTCTCCAAGGCCATCCATGCTGTTGCAAAAGGTAAGATTTCCTTATTTTTTATGGCCCAGTAGTATTCCATTGTGTAACTGTACCACAGCTTTTTTTTAAAAAATTATTAATTGATTTTAGAGACAGAGAGGAAGGGGGAAGAAAGGGAGAGAGAGAGAGAGAGAGAGAGAGAGAGAGAGAGAGAGAGAGAGAGAGAGAGAGAGAGAGAGAGAGAGAGAGAGAGAGAGAGAGAGAGAGAGAGAGAGAGAGAGAGAGAGAGAGAGAGAGAGAGAGAGAGAGAGAGAGAGAGAGAGAGAGAGGGGGAAGAAAGGGAGAGAGAGATAGAAATATCAATTATGAGAGAGAATCATTAACTAGCTGCCTCCTGCATATAACCTACTGAGGATCAAGCCCACAATCTGACTGGGAATTGAATCGAACAGTGACCTCCTAATTCATTAGTCAATGCTCAACACTGAGCCATTCTGGTTCGGCTGTACACAGCTTTTTTATCCACTCATCTACTGCTGGGTCATAAGGAAGTTCCTTTTTTTTGAGGTGACTGCTTTCCACACTAGCTGCACCTACCAGCCTTCCCACCAACAGTGCATGAGGGTTCCCTTTTTGCCACATCCTCCCCAACACTTGTTTGTTGATTTACTGATGATAGCCATTCTGACAAGTGTGAGGTGGCATCACATTGTAGTTTTCATTTCCATTTCTCTGATGATTAGTGACACTGAGCATATTTTCACATGTCTATGGGCCATCTGTTTATCCTCTTTGGAGAAGTATCTATTCAGGTCCTTTGCCCACCTTTTTTAACATATATTTTTATTGGTTTCAGAGAGGAAGGGAGAGGGAGAGAGAGAAACATCAAAGATGAGAGAGAATCATTGATCGGCTGCCTCCTGCATGCCCCACACTGGGGATCAAGCATGCAACCTGGGCATGTGCCCTGACCTGGCATCAAACCAGGACCTCCTGGTTCATAGGTTAATGCTCAATCACGGAGCCACACCAGGTGGGCTTGCCCATTTTTTAAAAATTTATCTTTATTGTTGAAAGTATTATAAATGTCCCCCTTTTTCCCTATTGATCCCTTCTAATCCACACCTGCCCCACACTCCAGGCCTTCACCAAACTATTATTGTCTGTGTCCATGGGTTATGCATATATGCATACAAGGTCTTCGGTTATTATCTTCCCACCCACCCTCCCTCCCCACCTTCCCTCTGAGATTCAACAGTCTGTTCCATGCTTCTATGTCTCTGGATCTATTTTGTTCATCAGTTTATTTTGTTCTTTAAATTCCACATATGAGTGAGATCACATGATACTTGTCTTTCTCTGACTGGCTTATTTTGCTTAGCATAATACTCTCCAGGTCCCTCCATGCTATCTCAAATGGAAAGAGGATCTTCTTTTTGACTGCTGTATAGTATTCCACGGTGTAAATGTACCACAGCTTTTTTTATCCACTCATCTACTCATGGGCACTTGTGCTGTTTCCAGATCTTAGCTATTTTTTAAATGGATTATTTGGGTTTTTTAGTGTTGAGTTATATGAGTTCTTTATAAATTTTGGATATTAACCCCTTATCAGATGTATCATTGGTGAATATGTTCTCTCGTGAAGTGGGTTGTCTTTCTCATTTTGATGATGGTTTGTATATTCTGAGAGTAAGAGGTATAATAGATAATAGAATGGGATCAATTATTTCAGTCCATACAGTACTATTAAATTAATTCTCAAAGTTGTTTATTCAGTCAGCAAGTATTAAGAGCTCAGCAGGTGTCAGGCACTAATACTTAGGGCATGTGCAACTGCATCTAGGTACTTCTGGAGTTGATTTACAATGCAGTATCTGAAACACATTCCTAGTTTTACCTAATGAGTATTACCCACCACAATTAGTCTTCTTCTTAACTATAACAACAACATATGCTAAGTGCTTATAATACCAAGTGCTTATACCATTTACTCTTCACAACACTCATATAAGGCAAAGATTGTTACAATCCCCATTTTATAAAGAAGAAAAGAAATGTGAAAAAATATTTGACTGTCCAAGGCCACCCAGTTGGTAACCAAAAAAACTCTGAAATACAAACCAAGTCTCTGAAGTCTAAATCAGTGCTGTTCAAAGTCTTGTCCTCTATGGGTGGCAGTATCAGCAGCACCTGGGAGCTTGTTAGAAATACACTTGGGAGTGTATCATAATTTCAGGGAGTGTGGCCTAGCCATGTGTTTGACAAGCCCTCTATGCGATCTTATGCATGCTAAAGTTGATAAGCACTACTCTAAACCACTACACTATACATACTATTCAGCTTCCCTAGTTCACAAATTACGAATGGTGTTGGGTTACATTACTGCTCTCCTGCATTTAAGAATTTTTAGCTTTCATCACGATTGTCCTTTTGGGTTGGATTCTATGGATAGTGAAAACATAACTCTATGCCATATCCTGTAAGCAGCGTGACTATTCATCCTAATTCTCTGGGGACAGTCCCATTAAACCTGTTGTCTTGCTGCAATTAACCATAGCCTTTCACTCTCAGAAGTGCCATAGGTTGAACTATAAATCATATGGTGGCCCTACCTATAAGCCACTACTTGCTCTGGCTGCCACTCGCTCCAACCTCATATTTTACCATTCAGCTGTCATGTCTATGCACTGGCTACAAAAATGGTTTCCTTTCAGTTCCTTAAATTTTCAAACTCATTTGTAATGAAAGGGCTTAACATTTCTGTTCCCTCTTCCTGGGAGGCTCTTCCTCTAGGTCTCAGAATGATTTGCTCCTCCTCAGTGGCCTTCCAAAGGTGGAATGATAGGACAGTCCACCCTGTGCACAGGTAATTTAGAGAATTTTATAACAGTAGTAAAACTAAAACACAGTCATCAGCAATTCAAACAACATTAATGAAAAAATACTGCTTTCCCCCTCAAAAAAATTATTATTTGTCCATTAATAAACATTGTATTCTACATGGAAGTTGATTCTGAGAACTCCCAGGTATATAGGTAGCCCTCAGACAAACACTGGCATAGATAATTGCATTTATCTCAAAAGTAAATTACTAAAATAGATTTGGAATAGTTACAGTTTATTTTGGGTTGTTTGTATCTCCAACCTCTGTGTTACCACATTCCTCAGTTTAAACAATAGATTTAAAATAAATTGTGGTAGCACATTGATTGAAAAGATGAGGAAACAGAACTTGAGTTACTTCAGTTTTGTCATGGTATTTCACTTCTTGGGATTTTTATTTGTATTCAAGATTTAAAACAGGGAATTCCAAGGGAGCCAGAATAGCCTAAATAGTCTTCAAAAAGAACAAAGTTGGAGAATTCACACTTCTCAATTTCAAAAATCATTGCAAAGCTACAGTAATCAAGACAATGTGGTACTGGCATAAGGACTGTCACATATGTCATTGAAATAGAGTTGAGAGTCCAGAAATAAATGCTCACATTCACACTCAATTAATTTTTGTCAAAAGTGCCAAAACAATTCAATGAGGAAAAGTCTTTTCAACTCATGGTGCTGGAACAACTGGATATCCACATTCAAAAGAATAAAGTTGGACCCTCATCTCAAATCAACTTAAAATGGACCAAAAACCAAAATGCAAGAACTAAAATTATAAAACTTTTAAAAAAGAATATAGGTGTACAGTTAAGTTGCTTACATATCGTGGCTATTGTAAATAATACTGCAAAGAACCTAGAGAGGTATGTATCTTTTCAAATTAGTGTTTATTTAAAATATATAAAAATTAAAATGGAAAATTTATTAAAAATATAAGTAATAAAATCTTTATAATTTTGGATTAGGCCATAGTTTCTTAGATATGACACCAATAGCACACAGAACAAAGGAAAAAAAATTGGACTTCATCAAAATTAAAAACTTTTGCCTTGAAAGGACACTACCAAAAAAAATAAAAGACAATCAATAGAACGAGAGAAAATATTTGCAAATCATATGTACAATAAGTGACTTACATCTAAAATATATACCTATTCCTTACAACTCAATAATAAAGACAAATAATGCAATTAAAAGTAGACAAAGAAGATATACAAATGGCCAGCAAGAAAATAAAAAGATGCTCAACATCATTAGCCATCAGGGAAATGCAAATCAAAACCACAACAAACTACCACTTCATACCCACTAGGATAGATGGAATCAAAATGTCAGATAATAACAGGTGTGGACAAGGAGGTGAAAAAGTTAGAACCCTCATGCATTGCTGGTGGGAATGTAAAATAGTGTATCATCCAGTTTGGAAAACGTCTGTCAGATCCTCAAAAGATTTAACATAGAGTTGCCATATGACCTGGCAATTCCACTCTAGGTTTTATAGCCCTCCCCCCCCAAAGACAAACATGTGTTCACATAAAAACTTGTACATTAGTGTTCATAATAGATTTAAGTATTCATAATAGCAAAACTGGAAACAA